GGGGTTGGGGGGGGTGTTAAGTACCCACTGTTCAAATTCACCACCGTCTGTAATGTACTCACACAACTTCAAGAGCTGTATGCAAAGCAATATACAAAACGGATACAGAAACAACATTTGACAACTTGGATCAAAACCAGGAGAAATGAGAATGGGACTAAGATATCTTTTTTTTTTAAAATATATAGCAACAAACGATCTATGAATCATCCTGACAATCGACCAGCCAAGATTTTCCAAAAGACGAGAGAAGAAATCATGAAGCAATTTACCACAGGCTGAGAAAGCTGTTACTACCTTTAACAGAGGGGACATGGTTGATGCTGCTGAAGTACAAATTATAATGGTTACATAATTTCAAGAAAATGGTTTGGTGAGCACGATAAAAACGAATTCTACGGAGACGGAAGGTGCCAGTTCAACCCTACTTTCTTTTATCAACTTTACACTATCCACACAGAACGAAAGAGACACCATCTGCTACTGTTTGAACGCATTGTGAGCAAGAAAAGCGGTGGGGAGTGCAGTCCAGCATTTATCCACCTGAATTGCAAATTGACGGCAAACATAGCATTCAAATACAAGGCATGCGTGGTTCATCTGATGCAAAGCTTGGACTCAAAACCCGTTACGAGGACCACGCCTCTGAATAGACGATAAGAGTGTCAAGCAGGCTTACGTCATTGGAAATGTGCCTCCTGGATCGCTCCGAGATAGTGATGGTTGGGAACTGTTTTTTTTAGGTTTATTTGTCTGTTTGTTTGTTTGTTTGTTTTTTTTTGTGTGTGTTTTTGGGGTGTTGCTTTGCTTTGTTTTGTTTTGTTTTTGTTTGGGGGGGGGGGGGTTCTGTGCTATGGCATCAGCCCCTGATATTGAGAAGGTACAAGAATTTGCAAATCAATTACCATCTTCACAATGAAAGGCTAGATGTAACGTTTCATCTGCATGCTGTCCACCTGAGCTCTGGGCCAGTGAAGATTTGCCATCCAGAACAACAAACTGCTGTGACAATTCTCATTCACATTTTGAACAACGCTTCAAGTGCTCGCCACCTAACTTTTCCTGTTCATTCGAAACTCAGTGACAACCAAGCAGCAAACGACACGACTTAAATAAAGATTAAAATAAATTATACTTTTATTGATCCCAGAAGGAAACTATGGTTTACACACACACATTCATAAATACATAATTATGAATACGTACATGAATATTATATACGCATATACATACATAAATACATAATTACACTACGCAGAACAAACAAGAATCAATACTGTGTAAAACTCGTCAGCATGTTCAAAAGAGAGAGAGGAAAAGACATTCTAATATTACAACACTAGCGCAGTGTGAAAGGTGAATTCGCAAAAAAAATATTACCATTGAATAATTTGTCAAGAGATTGAGTTTAAAACTGTTCTAAAAGAAAACCATACTTGTTTCTACACCCTTGCTGATTCTTATACCATTTTAATAAGTAATAAATAACCGATATGAAATAATGTTAACCTGCTGGAAATCCTATATTGCTTTAAATTAAGAAAAAAAACCACACACACACACACACACACACACACACACACACACACAAACACACACACATACAAACACACACACACACACTTACACACACACATACACACACATGAACGATCATTTACCAAATTATTATAGAATATACCCCACTACTGACACTATCAAAATTATTCGATTCAAATGGGATGAAAAACACAGTTCAGAGAAAATGGCCTCAAAGCTGAAAATATAACATTCACCCAATTCAATGATTAGACATATTCAGGCACTCAATGAAGCAAAAAACTCAAAACACTATATTTGACCCAGTTTTCAGTTACGGTTTTACCCGACATTACCACTCCCACTACCCACTCCATTATATTTTGAGCACCGTTACCCTTAAAGCGCACATCTTACACCCCCCCCCCCCCCCCCCTTCTAACCCACGGTTCGAGCTCGTGGTTCGAATGCCCTGTCGCAAGGAGAAACCTTCCACTTCCAAGTTCTTCCTAATGTGCGTGGTTGAATTGACGGTCATTTTTTATTCATTTTAAAAAGACTGTAATCGGGGGTTGGGGGGGGGGGGGGGGGGTTGTTCAATGAGTCAAACCCACATAGCGGGAATTCCCAAGACAAATGTGAGGCATCGTGGTCTAATCAGGCGCTCGTCAAAATATTGAAGTGAAGAAAAAGGCAATTTTTTTCCTAAAGTTTGACCATTTTTACAAAAATTTGGGGGCTTTTTGGCTCAACATAAAAGCACATTTCTATGTGAATTTTACTTAAAGACGTTGATTAATGGCGCAAAGTATGTAACTTTTTTATTTTCGAGGACTCTCAAACTATAGAAGTAACCAGTCTTTGGCAGCCATTTTCTCGCTAATTTTACCTGTGAGACCAGGCATTCCCACCTCCTTCAACGGTAAATGTATCTCAACCTCTATTCAAGACACATGGGTATTTTTTCAAAGAAAGCTTGGCAAATGAATAATCTGACAGATAATACCAATAAGTCCACATGCCAAATTGACGAGTGCCTGATTACACCGCGTTGTGACACAAATTCTAAACTCTGTTGGAGAAACCATGCCCTTCCCTGTCACGTGGGAAGGACTATTGAACAGTGTGGGACTCTAGCTTTGTACAAATATTTAATTTTTGCTGTACAGACGTTCCAATCATCGACTCGTTGGAGTCTGTGGCGTAATTGTTAGACTCGTGGCAGGTTATTTGAATTCGAAACCTTGGCGTTGGCGGTCCGCGGTGCGGTCAAAAGTTGGTGGCGCAACTTGTTGTCAAATATTTCTTCAATTGTCGAACATAAAGTCTCCAGCTTTTGCACAATGACTTGTATCAGTTTGTCTTACAGACGCGTTAGCTGTATTCTAGAAACTTCGTTAAGGGGGGAGGAGGGGGAGCTACACCTGAAGGCTATCTCGCTCATTAGCGGATCAAATTTTACCAAATTCCACATATAACAAGCAGAGTTAAGAGTCTCCCCATCAGCAATCAAATTTGAGTAAAAAGTTTCGTTGCCGTAGTGACGGCGAACAAATTGGATTTTGTTGACACGTCTTACGCAATGAATGCCGCACTTATTTTTCACGGAAATGGGTTGTTATTTTGCTTGCATGTTAGCAGACAACAGACCTACAAATTCGTCAGTTAATATTTTTCTAAACGGATTAGAAAATTGACGTAGTAGTCAAGTTTGAAAAAAAATCAGTGAAAATCCACACTCCTTACCATCAACAAAAATCTACGCCGTGTATACAAAAAAAAATTCGAAAGATAAATATTTTGTGTTACATCTTTTCTTCGTCATTTTGTAAATAAAAAAGATGACTTTATGAGGAAATGGTGATGACTAACGTGCCAGATATGTGGGGAAAAAAGGCTTTAGGTGGTTCTTTTACAATGAAATAGTTGTAAGAGAGGCGGAAGAAGTTAAAAATGCCTACAACACAAAAAAACATTATCTTGACTGACATGACCCGAATCGGGACTGTCAGGGTGTATGCCCCCCCCCCCCCTTTTAATAACTACTTATTCAAAACTCCAGTGGTTGGTTTCGACATTTTAAAAGGTTTACAGCTAGGATGATATCGCTTATAAAAGCAAACCCGTCTTTTTTTCTAATCTTGACATCATGTATGCTTTTTGAACGCATGTTATGAGAACTTTTAGTGCAAAAAGTGTAAAGTATAACATTAATTTCTTGTACCAAGTTTTGCCACTAAAAAGTGCCTTCGGTGAGCTGTGACGAAGGCCATAATAATATGCGTATCTAATATGTGTGTGAGAAGCAGGAAGTGCTGTGAACACTCCCATTTTCCGTGTGACGGAAGTATTTTATATTTATTTATGAAAAAAGTTTATTTAATCTAACCTCAATTATTATGGACAAATAGAATTAAGTTAAGACAAATTGACGTAAACTGCTGGGCAAAGTATTGGTGACACTGATTCGCCTGTTAAAGAAATATTTAAGGATAAGTTGTGCCACGAATTTTTGACAACACAATACTGGTTAGCTTGTTGCGCTCGCACCCTAGAGCAGAAAGATCGTGAGTTCGAAACCCGTCAAGGGTCCATTGTTGTGTCCTGTCCTTGGGAGAGGAACTTTTTATAAAATTTTCTCACTTCGCCTAATTCGGAATGGGTACTCCGGCTATTATATAGACAGTGAAAGATCTTGTCTGTTAATATTTGAGTGCTTAGTCGGCTTCTTGCACTGTATGCTTCCCGTGAAGCCTAGAATGTTTCTGAATGTACAAAGGTCTGTCTGAGTAATATTATAACATATATTGTAAATTCCATGGAACTTGCTTTAAAACGGGTGCTTACGCTATGTAATAGATAGTTTGTGTTGCTATTATTATTATCATCTCCACCATCATTGTATGCAGCAGAGAGTAAGAAGGCTGAGCCTTGGTAGTATTTCCAAAATATTTAACGACATGTTCAACGTTTCGCCCTCTACATGCTTTATCAGGAGCATTCAAAATATGAATGACTACACTTACGTCAGCTAGGATCTGTAACTTCATCATCATCATCATCATCATCATCATCATCATCATCATCATCATCATCATCATCATCATCATCATCATCATCACCGAGTTTGGAAGTTTTTAATCGAGCTTTCCTATCAGTCTGCTAGGAATATGTATACTTTTCAACCCGGGTTGACCCTGACAACAGCCCGCCTCCTAGTCAATGATATAGATTGTGCAGATGGTGGCGTAAAACACCGACAACTTTTTTTAAAGTGTAAGTCCAGAGTGTTAGGAGAGCCAGCAAGCTGTGAGCTGAGAAGCCGACAGTTTGTAATCAGGGTTTTTTGTTGTACGTTGTTTAGTTTGTGATCTCTCTCTCTCTCTCTCTCTCTCTCTCTCTCTCTCTCTCTCTCTCTCTCTCTCTCACTCTCTTCCACGTCCTTGACCTTTTTTGCCATGATTAATCCGCACGCAGTTTTTGGATGTACATCTAAGTCGTGCTAATGATATATCCATAAAAGATGTAAAGAAGTTAAAGAAAAGGAGTATCAGACACATAGAAACGGTCAAACGTTTACGTTGTTTTGTTCCTGCTACATTCACACGCCACCACCACTTAATAAAATCAATTTAAAAAAAACAACTTAAGTATTCATTCCTTCATTCATTTAAGAAATGTTGGATTATCGTTTGATGTTTTTACAACAGTGCGTGCTATTTATCGATCCACCAATCCATTCTTTTCATGGGAGTAGTGCTATCTCAGTTTACATGGCATGGATCGGCGGTTTATGAATAATTAACTATTTCAGAATGATTCTGCAGTATGATTGGGTTTTTTTCAAAGATTGCTTTGTTTTATTTGCTGAATGATACGGTATTTATTTATGAAGTATGTTTCTCTTTTGTTTACAGAATCGTTATTTTCGGTGTTGATTTTTTTTCTAAATCTCATTTGTTTCCAAACAAAACCATACGATATTAATTTTTACTAAACGTTTTCTCTTTTAATTTCAGGGATTTTTCCGGCGTAGTTTGACACGCGTTGAGCCGTACGAGTGTCAGAGATCTGGAAACTGTCTCATAGGACCGGAGACCGACCGACGGGGGAGCTGTCCAAAATGTCGTTACAAGAAATGTCTGGCCGTGGGAATGAGCAAAGATGGTGAGTGTGGTGTGTTGTATTGGTTGCCGTGTGGCTTACACACAACTGGGCGTTGTAATCATGCGTGTATTTTAACCCTTTCAGTGCTGAAATGTTTCTTTTTACGCTTGTAGAAGCAAGACAAATACATTATGTTTGTTCAAGAGAGATTTAACCCTATCCGTACGCCATGGGTTCATTTTGTACCCCCGGGTTGCATTCGTCACATTTTAGAAAACTTCTAGTACGAAGATTTTTTTGAAACTTTCAGTATTTCTCAAAATTTCATTTTTACAAACTGGGGATCGGATTAACGAGTAAATTTCCTCTTTTGAAAGGGGTGGCACAGAGTTCCAAACGTCATATGGATACGATAGTAAAACATAAGGGTCGGATAGGGTTAAACAAAGTTATAATATATTTCTCCTTATTTAGAATAAGAAACTGCACAAGTTGCAGGTACATCTCTATGGTACCCAGTAGTAAAAATGTCTGTGAAACAGTTTTGGATAACACAAGTGAGGATTTACGTCTCTATAGCTATGATGAGGTTAGCATCGAGCCTATTTGCCGTAAGTCAGGGGGCACCAAACTTCTTTTCCACGTGGGCCGGATAACACTAACAGAGAGAATCCCGAGCGCGGGGCGGGATATCTATTTTGTTCAATACAATACATGGACATGGTAATAAATGAAAGATGTGTGACATTAAATCAGAAAAAGGATGTGGTACATAAGTCAGAAGTTATGACTTCTACAAAAGCACGTTTAATGCATTATTCACTGAAGAGTTCATTGAAATTATAACATTCTCTCGGTGACCAAGTCCTGAGCATACACATACTAAAAAACACATCTTCGATGTTTTCCCCGCATTGTGGCATGTCGGAGGGCCACGTAAATAACCTTATGGGCTGGATCCAGGCCGGCAGCCGTAGTTTGGTGACCCCTGCTGTTATACTTCCATAAGAGTGCATTGTGCCTGTGGACTCACTCACAATCTGATCTTCGAAGCTGATTTAGCGCAGTCAAAGGTAGTTAACGTTTTCTACAGACTGGAGCTCTACTCTAACTGAGAAAGGAACGAAACGTTCTCGAATACGTCGATGAAGTGGGTTGTTGGCCCGTACTTTGGTGTGGTTTGCTCATTTTTTTCTGTTAAACATTGATCGTCCTTAACTCTTTTACTTCTCATTTTATGTTATTCTCTTAACAAATACACCTCTAATCTTCAGCACTACTATGGCCTATTTGTGTCACAGGTGCTATAAGATTCATACAACAAGTAAGACTAAGCGTTGGTGGCAACATGTTTATCATTATGTTCTTGCATGTAGGACACTGTTTTCATTGCGTGACGCATCTTGTAAACATCAAAGAGAAGGCATAAAGGTTTTTCAAAAAGAATCTGCATTTCAGAGAATGAAAGTAAAGAAAGCGCTTAGTCAGCGCATGTGGCGATATTTATTGTATAATTCCAACAAAATTTTCAAGGACGCTCTTTAATGCAAGTGTGCTCTCTCTCTCTCTCTCTCTCTCTCTCTCTCTCTCTCTCTCTCTCTCTCTCACGCACACACACGTGCGCGGGCACGGAGAATAATTATTATACCCTCACACATTATGACACATACAAGACAAGAGCTGACCTCAGGTTTCTTACCAATCCCGTGTCATTTCTCCTTCAGCTATCAAGACAGGCCGATACTCCTACGAAAAGAAATCCAAAGACATAATGGAGATAAAAGAATTTCACCGCATGCAGGAGGCATCGGAATCTTCTCCCAGACGTCAACATACAAGATCTGGCTCAGAGATAAGCGCAGATATGCCCCAAGAGAATGTTGGGTGTTTCAGTAAGATCAGTAAACATTTCGCAGATCATAATCCCGATGGGTGGGGTACAACTTCCGACAAAAACTTACATGCTGAAGGCTGGAATTTTACAGAATCAACCCAACTTCCCCATGCGCCATCAACCACATTCCACGGACCTTCAAGGGGGTACTCCCACAGCCGCTATACAAATCGGCAAAGAACGACTTCAGCGCAAATACATGGGGATGAAATGAATTACCAGGTTTTCGTAAGCTCAGCCTCATCATCGAGTCCAGATTTAGAAAGCGCGAATTTCCGAGGTGCTCGTGACTGTGGCCTTGACCTTTCCTTGCCTTCATCTGCTTCTTTTTATAGAAATTCTTCTGAAAAACCTAGCTCTTCTATAGTGGTCAGAGCTCCGATGCAATCAAGCTGTATGTCCTGCAACTGTGCAGCCTGTGGACATGGCAGTCAATCTAAGGGAAGAGTCGAATTCAGACAGGTACGTGACACAGGCCAGTCTTTAGGTATTTCCTGCACTCCAAGTGTGACACCATCTGTCAGTGTAGAAGACATGGGCGGTAGTCTGTGTGCCACAAGGCATAACATGTCGTTTCACGACGAAGCCACTCCTGATGGCCGGGGTTTGAACCTTTCGGAAGAGTTCAGAGCTAAGAGGACAACGTCGTTATTGCCTCGTCAGGATTTTGATTCGCAAGCAAACGTAAATACGTGCAACGAAGCGAATTTTGTTGGAACGAATGTTTTGTCCAGTGCGAAAACCCACAGTCCAATATCCTTATCTACCCCAGAGACGAGAGAGGAAATGTCAGAGTTCCGGATGAAAGATTTACCAGAAACACTCAGAAACCAGTGGGTCCCACACATGACATGCACTTACGTCAGCAAGGATCTGAAGCAAGCTCTAAAGAGAAAACTGAGCGAGAAAAGATACCCCGTAGAAGCAACAGCAATAGACAAAGTCAAACGACGAGAAGCTGTTGATTCTCCGGAGAACTCTACATATTCCTTTCCTTCTGAAGAAAGCTCGGAATCATTAGAGTTCCAAGACACATTACTGAAATTCGGCTGTGGGTGCCTTAAATGTAGTTGGGAGCACACAGAAGACGCACTGTCCGGCTCTCTACAGAGAGAAACGTCCGCGTGCGGCTCCCCATCATCACTTCAGAGTGAGACGGAAGAGCTGACCAGCGATGTTTCTCAGTCTGCGTGGCAATTTAGCCCACCAGACATCGTCTGGGCTTCAGCTGAGCTCAAGAAAGAAAGAGACTGGTTCTCAAGAAGCACCTCGACTTTACCGTCACCATCTCTCCCTCCCGTCGTTACCTCCCCTGATCTCCGAAGCTCCGTTTCGCCCGCCTCATTATGCGATCAAAAGTCTGCAAAATCATCCACAACAACAGCAACTGCAGCACCAAAACCAGCGACAGCAGTTGCAGTAGTGGCAAGCACAGAAGCAGCAACAGAGATAGAAAACACTCCAAGTATTCAAACACCTCAATGCATACTACCACCAACAGCAGCAAGTGCATTGACTGCAACAACAGGATCAGCAACAGCGGCTGTGGCAGCAGAGGCAGCAACAACAGGGGAGGCAGCAACAGCAGCAAACACGTTCTTACAATCTGCTGACTTTCAAACAACTTCAGACAACGGGATGTCAAGTTTTGAAAGCATTAGCCAAGCAGCTCGGAGTGGTACTGGCTTCTTCTTTTCACAAGACAAAGAATTTCCTCACATAAGTGACGACATTCTCCGCGCATGGTACCGATCACCATCTCCGACCTTCTCTGACTGGAGCGATAACAACCTCAGCGACTTTGACAACGACAGTCTTCTACAAACTGAACAGAATGACGCCACATACCTTAATATGCGTCAAACTTTAACTGAATGTGTGAGTGAGGAAAGAGACATCGAGCTGCCTAGCCCATATTTGGAGAAAATGAGATCGGAAGCTCTACAACGTCTCGAGGACCCGGATACTCAGTCCGAGATAGCTCGCTTATCCGAAGCTTTGTCGAAATGTGAGCTGTATTGTTACGAAATGACTTTATTGGACCCGATTTTTCACAAACTAAACATCTCGTTTCCAAAGTCCGCTTTCTCCAGTGTCAAACAATACGGGGGCAAAATTGGGATTAGTGACCCCAGCGAGTTTCTTTCAACAGCATCAGCAGCTACACCCCTTTCTGTATTGCCAGCTTCGTCAGTCTCCATAGGCTCTCTAGGCACGCAGCAAGCCACCCGAGCACTGAATCCAAACCAAACTCAAACCACAGTAAGACGCCCAAACAACGGAGAGGATTATTATAAAGTTTTGCCCTGGTGTGAATTTTCCGAAGCAGAACTTGATGACGTCATTTCTACAATAATGGCGGCTCGCGACACTTACCTTGGCTGGGATTTTAACTCTATCAGTGAAGAGGAAGTGGAACGGAGAAAGGAAACCTACAGGGTAGGTCCTGAGAGTGGAAGTTTAAGAAAGTGTCACTTACGTTTTAACTTTAAGTTGTCCACCATGTCAACCCTGGTTATGCATAGAAAGCCTTAATTTTTTTAAAGTTCACTTGAATTTTCATAATACATACACATACGTGATACATACACACACACACACACACACACACACACACTCACACACGCACACACGCGCACACACGCGCACACACGCGCACACACGCGCACACACGCGCACGCACGCAACGATGCACGCACAAACATACATGTATTTTGTTTGTTTGTCCCGTGTGTTGGCGGAAGGAAGAGAGATGTGTGGTGTGGTGAGGTACGGTGTGGATATGAGAGAGAATGAGAGAGAGAGAGAGAGAGAGACAG